GTGAACGACATGATGGAAGGAATAGACTCTGAAGTGTCCCTGTTTGCAGATGACGTGAAGTTGATGAGAAGAATTAAATCGGATGAGGATGAGACAGGACTGCAAAGAGACCTGGAGAGGCTGGACATGTGGTCCAGTAACTGGCTTCTCGAATTCAGTCCAGCCAAATGCAAAGTCATGAAGACTGGGGAGGGGCAAAAAAGACCGCAGACAGAGTATAGGCTAGGTGGACAAAGACTACAGACCTCACTCAGGGAGAAAGACCTTGGGGTGGCCATAACACCGAGCACATCACCGGAGGCACACATCAACCAAATAACCGCTGCAGCATACGGGCGCCTGGCAAACCTGAGAATAGCGTTCCGATACCTTAATAAGGAATCGTTCAAGACACTGTACACTGTGTATGTTAGGCCCATACTGGAGTATGCAGCACCAGTCTGGAACCCACACCTGGTCAAGCACGTCAAGAAGTTAAAGAAAGTACAAAGGTTTGCAACAAGGCTAGTCCTAGAGCTCAAGGGAATGTCGTACGAGGAAAGGTTAAGGGAAATCGGAGTGACGACACTGGAGGACAGAAGGGTCAGGGGAGACATGATAACGACATACAAGATACTGCGGGGAATAGACAAGGTGGACAGAGATAGGATGTTCCAGAGAGGGGACACAGGGACAAGGGGTCACAACTGGAAGCTGAAGACTCAGACGAGTCACAGGGACGTTAGGAAGTATTTCTTCAGTCATAGAGTTGTCAGCAAGTGGAATAGCCTAGCAAGTGAAGTAGTGGAGGCAGGAACCATACATAGTTTTAAGAAGAGGTATGGCAAAGCTCAGGAAGCAGAGAGAGAGAGAGGATCCAGTAGCGATCAGTGAAGAGGCGGGGCCAGGAGCTGAGTCTCGACCCCTGCAACCACAATTAGGTGAGTACAATTAGGTGAGTACACACACACACACACACACACAGAAGCTGTGACTTGACCCCTTTTAACCAAAACTAGGTGAGTACACACACACACACAGAAGTTGCGAATCGACCCCTGAAACCATAACTAGGTGAGTAGACACCCACACACACACACAACACGTATAGGTACTTGCAGAAACAAAATGAAAACTTGAGAATTACTGTTAGGTGGAAGGACAGACGTACTCGAGGAACTAAGTAAGACTAATTCTGAATACACACGCACATACATGTACACAGCCACATGTACACATGTAAACAAGGATACACACGCACATACACACACACACCTTGAGTAGTGTAGATACTGAGGACATCATATAGTGATCAGTGTTTGTGAGCTTCGAATGCATAACTGAGGAAAACAGGAAGGGCAGGACGAATTAAGCCAAACTACAAGAAAGCGGACCACACAGGCATGAGGTATTTCCTGCATGAGGGTCAATGGGACAGAGAACTGGCAAGGAGATCAGTAAATGAGATGATGAAATATGTGACAACAATATGCAAGGAAGCAGAAGAGAGGTTTGTACCCATGGGCAACGGAAATAATATGAAGGCCTCGGCAAGCCCTTGGTTCATCCAAAGGCATAGAGAGGCCAAAACCAAGTCTGCTAGAGAATGGAAAAAGTATAGAAGGCAAAGGACTCAGGAGAATGAAGAGAGCAGTTAAGAGCCAGAAATGAATATGCTCAGGTAAAGAGAGAGGCCCAACGACAATACGAAAATGTCATAGCAGTGAAAGCCAAGTCTGACCCGAAGCTGTTGTACCGTCACATCAGGAGGAAAACAATAGTTAAGGACCAGGTAATCAGGCTGAGAAGGAAGAAGGGAAGATCACCAGAAACGATCGAGAAGCATGTGACGAGCTCAACATGAGATTCAAGGAAGTATTCACAGAGGAGACAGAAGGGACTCCAGAAAGACGGAGAGGTGGGGTACAACATCAAGTGCTCGACACAAAACATACAACCAAGGAGGAGGTGAAGAGGCTGCTTAGCAAGATGGATACTACAAAGTCGATGGGGCCGGCCGACATCTCTCCATGCGTCCAGGGAGAAGGAGAAGAGGCGCTCTGTGTACCACTAATAACAAACTTGAACACATCCATCAATACAGGGCGACTACCTGAGGTATGGCAGACAGCTAATGTAGTCAAAATTTAAGAAAAACAAAGGCGACTGACACGCAGCATTAAATTACAGACCAGTGTCACTGATATGTATAGTATGCTAAATAATGGAGAAGATTATCAGAAGAAGAGAGGTGGAGCACTTTGAATGGAATGAGCTTATAAACGACAACCGGCACAGATTCAGAGAGGGGAAATCCTGTGTCACGAACCTATTAGATTTCTATGACATGGTGACAGCAGTAAGACAAGAGAGAGAGAAAGAGGGGTGGGTAGATTCCATTTTCTTGGACTGCAAGAAGGCTTTTGACACAGTTCCACATTAGAGATTAGTGCAAAAGCTGGAGGACCAGGCAAGGTATAACAGGAAAAGTGCTGCAGTGGATCTAACGGGAAGACATCAGCGAGTCTTGATACGTGATGAGGTGTCAGAGTGGGCGCCTGTGACGAGCGGGATTCCACAGAGGTCAGTCCTAGGACCAGTGCAGTTTCTGGTATATATGAACGACATGACGGAATAGACTCAGAAGTGTCTCTGCAGATAATGTGAAGTTAGTGAGGAGATTTCAGTTGGAGGATGACAAGGCAGAACTACAAAGGGATCTGGACAGGTTGCAGGCCCGGTCCAACAACTGGCTCCTGGAGTTGAACACCACCAAAGTGCAAAGTCATTAAGATCGGAAAAGGGCAAGAAAGACCTCAGAGTACAATCTAGGTGGCCAAAGATTACTAACCTCACTCAGAGAAAAGGTTCTTGGAGTGTGTATAATACCGCACACATCTCCTGAGACTCACATCAGCCATATAACTGCTGTAGCATATCGGCGACTGGAGAGTGACTAGTGAATCTAAGAATAGAATTCCGGCATCTCATTAATGAGTCGTTTCGAACGCTGTACACCGTGTACGTCAGGCCCATATTAGAGTATGCAGCTCCAGTTTGGAACCCACACCTGACCAAGCATGTCATGATATTAAATAAAGTGCAAAGTTTTTCAAGAAGACTAGTTCCGGAGATAAGGGGCCTGTCCTACGAGGAAAGATTCAAGGAACCCAACCTGACGGCACTGGGCGACAAGAGAGACAGGGGAAACATGATACCGACATATAAAATACTGAGAGGTATCGAAAAGATGAACAGAGACAGGATATTCCAGAGATGGGACACAGTAATAAGGGGTTACAAATGGAAGTTGACGACTCAGATGAGTCACAGGGAGGTTAGGAAGCATTTCCTCGGTCATTTCTTCAGGAAATGGAATAGTATGGAAAGTGAGGTAGAGACAGGTACCATACCTAGGCTTAAGAAGAGGTATGATAAAGCTCATGGAGCAGGGAGAGAGTGGACCTAGTGGCGACCAGTGAAGAGGCGGGGCCAGGAGCAATGACTCGACCCCTGCAACCACAATTAGGTGAGTACACACACACACACACACACACATATATATATATATATAATATATATATATATATATATATATATATATATATATATATATATATATATATAAATGTGTGTGTGTGTGTGTGTGGCAGCTTTGACACAGTCTTTGAGAATGTTTAACCATCTTGCTCCCTCCACACAGTTCAAAGCTGAATGGGAAATACACAATTAACTTACATTCCTTGATGTTCTCATCACTGGGAATACCGATCAGGTTGAATTTTCAGTTTACAGGACGCCCACTCACACTGCCAACTATGTTCATTTCAACAGCCACCATTCAATATAGATCAAGAAGAGCACCGTCTCAAGCCTGTTTTTAAGTGTACTCAGGATATGCAGCCCCTCAAAATTAGGCAAAGAAAAAAGGAATCCTTAGAATACAATTCTTCAAATTATGATACCCTGAGTGTTTTTTAAAATAAGGAGAAAAGAGTACAAATATTAACTATTACCAAACCTCAGTTCGCAAAATCCCACCCGATCCAGCAAATTTGGTTGGTAGGGTACTCGCGGTACCCTACCAATAAGGTACATTCAATCGTCTCAACAAAGTGACCAACATAATCACGTTCTATCCCAACAAACTGGGGAACCTCTTTTTCAAAAAACACGAACATTCAGGTACACAAGACACACCGGGGGTTTACAGATACCACGAAAGACCGAATGCTGTCTACAAGGACCATTTTGGTTTTACACAAGACAATTCAGCTATTTTTAACATGTCAGCAACATCATTAGTCACAATATTCATTGGAAAACTGCCACCATCTGTGTTGTCTGTGGAATTGCTTGTGATGATGTAATATAATCTAGTCAATAGGAATTTTAAATCATTATCTCTCTAGAGTCTTTCTATATTTATTAGATTCCTTCCTTATCTACAGGTCTATCTTTTCTACAGTCATTCTCTATGTAAATTCCTATTCTACAGCATTTTGAAACTTAATATATATTGAACACTATTAAATTTAGAGTCCTACTTCATTTTGAGTTCTACCCAGTCTATAAGCATACTCTGTCAAGAATGCTGCTCCATCTAGAGTCCTACCCTATTTTTAGTTGTACTCTATCCAAAATCCTACTTTTCCTTTTGAGCTCTACACAATGCTAAGGTACTAAATATCCCCTCTGGACAATTCCACATGAATTGTGGTAAATCAAATACATTTAGAAAGCCGATTCTTCAGCGCTAAGTATCCTCATGTTGCCTCAATTGTTGACAGTTTCCTGCTGGACTAGCTGCATCATTCCACCATTAATTTTTATAGTGATAATCATGAGGAAAATCTGAACCCCTTAGTGGTTATGGAATGTCTGGGGAACGAGAGGGTTGGGAGATCAGATTCGATTCGAGGAAGGGAAGAATAAATCCAGTCCTTTGGATCAAGAGTTCTTTAGGAACCCTAAGGCAATAAATACCTTGAATGGTCCAAGGAGTCACCTAATATACTCACGACGGTCGAACTTAAGGGAAACCAGATTCAAGACGTGGGCGGGGTTGGACGGTGACATGGAGATGTTGAAGGGCGGGCCGTGCCCCAACGCCCAAACATCAGGGTCGGTGATCTTGAGGACGCCTAGTTTGGTGGGCGGGCTACCCTCGGTAATGTGAAGGCGTGTAGGTGGCAGAAGGCTCGGTGGACAGTCGTTGACGTCAGTGACGGTGATGGTGAGGGTAGCTGTAGCTGTGAGACGGGGACGCCCACGGTCCACGGCTAGAATCCTGGCCACCTCAGCGTCCCCTCCTGGGGCATCACGGTCCAACATCCCTCGCAGAGTAACGGTGCCGTTAACATCGACACTGAGAACGTCCCAGCCTCCCTCAAGGTGGTAGTCCACCCCTAGCTCTCCTCCCTGTCCAGGGACATCAAAGAGAAAAATTCATACCATTAAAAATAATTATAAAATCACCTTATAAAAATCCCTGTTATATCCCTTCTAACTATTCAAAGCCTCTCACCCCCACCTGTGTCTCGCCTTCTTTCCTTCCTTCCTTCACACTGTTTTTCCTATATCCGGGTAGCACTTTTTGTTGTGCTCGTCTAGATGGACCACTAAGAATGTTTAATCAACATCACCCGAGTGTATAGTACATTGACATTGCACTGGAAGTGCAAAAAGATTTACTCTAAATCTGATTATAAAGATAATATTACAGCTGCCATTGTTCTTAGAGCATTCTTACTTTAAGAATCTATGTGAAGCACAGCCTCGTTATAACTGTATTAGGAACCTATGTACTACACAAGAATAACTGTTGACAGCATGTGTATACAGTATATTTGTGACCCCAGCCTCAGAACTGAAGTCTTTAATGTGGTATTTTCCTCTTCGTTTTAGGCTGTCTTGAAGCTGTTGAACTACGAATGATCCAAAAAGCTAGAGCTGTGCTCCCTTTCCTCAGATCAGACCTGATTATCTTCCATGCCCTGATCACCCTGTGACCTTTAATTTTCGTTTCGTATTTATTCAAAATATAATCATTAGTTGGTCTTTTTATTTAGATACCATCATCAATTGAAATTAACTTGTTATTACCATATGAAGAATAAAAGCCACGATAATGTGGCTAAAAAAATATCCAACTAACCCACAAATCGGAGATAGACTTGTAGATGACGTATTGTGGGTTAGTTGTGAATGAGTTACCTTGTTTTTAATTACTTCGATTGCCAGAGAGTATTCCTTTCATATTCATGGGTTTAAGCTATTGCTTAATTGTTGTGGTATTGGTGGGAAGTGCGCGCCTTTGGCCATTATTGGTTCATAATTCTCAGAGCACAGGAATCACAATGTAGATTACTGAATATTAGTGAGTTTGCGAACAGTTGTAGGCGTCTATAACGTCAATATAGGAAATGAAGATTTTAGTATAGTCTTCTTTGTTATGGCACAATCATTGTTGTAAATACCAGACTGCTATTCTTATTACCTTCTCTTCTCACTGGGTCTGTGGTAGTGACTCGAGATATTACCATCCCTGAGTTCTCATTTCATCGGTATTTGATTATCCATAATCCCTGAGGCTAGCGTCCACTGGATCTGTTAGATATGTGACTCACTTTACAAAATTCCAGTTTGTTTTAGCATTCCGGTTTCATGTTTTTGCAACTAATAAATAATTATGTATTCTAAAATTATGTATTCTAAAATACACACGATGGATCTTAACTCTGGAAGCAACTTCGACTTTCAGCAGAAGAATTTCGGTTCGGTCAAATTCGTACTAACACTTAATGAAGTTTCTTTATATATCTACTGAACTTCCTATTTATATAACTGTCAATAGGTACATGGGTGGTACCCGATTCTTGAGGTGGCATCCTGGGGCAGGAAGAGTTAAGGTGGCATCCTGGGGCAGGAAGAGTTAAGGTGGCATCCTGGGGCAGGAAGAGTTAAGGTAGATCCTGGGGCAGTAAGAGACCTAACCCTGCAAATTCAAAGGTGCAAGAAATGTTATTATTTAGCACAAAACATTTGTTACTGACTTGTATGATTTAATTAATTTAAAATAAATTGGTACTATATCACGTCATCAAGGAAATTATTTAGAGGTAAACTGCTCAAGGGCGACTGAACTCAAGAAAACGCAGTTTTCTACGATGTCTACCAACCTACTACCTAGGTAGTAGGTTGGTAGTCAGCAACCACCCAGGGAAGTACTACCGTCCCGCCAGATGACTGTGAAACAGAAACCTGTAACTGTTTTTTATGATGGTAGGATTGCTGGTGTCAGGTACGTAGGCACGCTAGATAACAGGGATATCTTGCTACTCCTACTTACACTTTGGTCACACTTCGCAGACACGCACATGTATATATATATTATATTATATATATTTATATATATATATATATATATATATATATATATCTGGTTTTTCTCCTTTTTCTAAGTAGCTCTTGTTCTTCTTTATTTCTTCCATTGTCCATGGAGAAGTGGAAAAGAATCTTTCCTCCGTAAACCATGCGTGTCGTATGAATTGACTAAAATGCCGGGAGCAATGGGCTAGTAACCCCTTCTCCTGTAAACATTTACTAAAAAAGAGAAGAAAAACTTTATAAAACTGGGATGCTTGAATGTGCGTGGATGTAGTGCAGATGACAAGAAACAGATGATTGCTGATGTTATGAATGAAAAGAAGTTGGATGTCCTGGCACTAAGCGAAACAAAGCTGAAAGGGGTAGGGGAGTTTCGGTGGGGGAAAATAAATGGGATTAAATCTGGAGTATCTGAGAGAGTTAAAGCTAAGGAAGGGGTAGCAATAATGTTGAAGGATCAGTTATGGAAGGAGAAGAGAATATGAATGTGTAAATTCAAGGATTATGTGGATTAAAGTAAAGGTTGGATGCAAAAAGTGGGTCATAACAAGCGTGTATGCACCTGGAGAAGAGAGGAATGTAGAGGAGAGAGAGAGATTTTGGGAGATGTTAAGTGAATGTATAGGAACCTTTGAACCAAGTGAGAGAGTAATTGTGGTAGGGGACCTGAATGCTAAAGTAGGAGAAACTTTTAGAGAGGGTGTGGTAGGTAAGTTTGGGGTGCCAGGTGTAAATGATAATGGGAGCCCTTTGATTGAACTTTGTATAGAAAGGGGTTTAGTTATAGGTAATACATATTTTAAGAAAAAGAGGATAAATAAGTATACAAGATATGATGTAGGGAGAAATGACAGTAGTTTGTTGGATTATGTATTGGTAGATAAAAGACTGTTGAGTAGACTTCAGGATGTACATGTTCATAGAGGAACCACAGATATATCAGATCACTTTTTAGTTGTAGCTACACTGAGAGTAAAAGGTAGATGGGATACAAGGAGAATAGAAGCATCAGGTAAGAGAGAGGTGAAGATTTATATACTAAAAGAGGAGGCAGTTAGGGTAAGATATTAACAGCTATTGGAGGATAGATGGGCTAATGAGAGCATAGGCATTGGGGTCGAAGAGGTATGGGGTAGGTTTAAAAATGTAGTGTTAGAGTGTTCAGCAGAAGTTTGTGGTTACAGGAAAGTGGGTGCGGGAGGGAAGAGGAGCGATTGGTGGAATGATGATGTAAAGAGAGTAGTGAGGGAGAAAAAGTTAGCATGTGAGAAGTTTTTACAAAGTAGAAGTGATGCAAGGAGGGAAGAGTATATGGAGAAAAAGAGAGAGGTTAAGAGAGTGGTGAAGCAATATAAAAAGAGAGCAAATGAGAGAGTGGGTGAGATGTTATCAACAAATTTTGTTGAAAATAAGAAAAAGTTTTGGAGTGAGATTAACAAGTTAAGGAAGCCTAGAGAACAAATGGATTTGTCAGTTAAAAATAGGAGAGGAGAGTTATTAAATGGAGACTTAGAGGTATTGGGAAGATGGAGGGAATATTTTGAGGAATTGTTAAATGTTGTTGAAGATAGGGAAGCTGTGATTTCATGTATAGGGCAAGGAGGAATAACATCTTGTAGGAGTGAGGAAGAGCCAGTTGTGAGTGTGGGAGAAGTTTCGTGAGGCAGTAAGTAAAATGAAAGGGAGTAAGGCACCCGGGATTGATGGGATAAAGATAGAAATGTTAAAAGCAGGTGGGGATACAGTTTTGGAGTGGTTGGTGCTATTATTTAATAAATGTATGGAAGAGGGTAAGGTACCTAGGGATTGGCAGAGAGCATGCATAGTTCCTTTGTATAAAGGCAAAGGGGACAAAAGACAGTGTAAAATTTATAGGGGGATAAGTCTGTTAAGTATACCAGGTATACTCAACTGACTTATCCCCTTATAAATTTTATAAATAGACTTAAGTGTATGGTAGAGTTATTATTGAAAGAATTAAGAGTAAGACGGAGAATAGGATAGCAGATGAACAAGGAGGCTTTAGGAAAGGTAGGGGGTGCGTGGACCAGGTGTTTACAGTGAAACATATAAGTGAACAGTATTTAGCTAAGGCTAAGGAGGTTTTTGTAGCATTTATGGATTTGGAAAAGGCGTATGACAAGGTGGATAGGGGGGCAATGTGGCAGATGTTGCAGGTGTATGGTATAGGAAGTAGGCTACTGAAAGCAGTGAAGAGTTGTTACGAGGATAGTGAGGCTCAAGTTAGAGTCTGTAGGAAAGAGGGAGATTATTTCTCAGTAAAAGTAGGCCTTAGACAAGGATGAGTGATGTCACCATGGTTGTTTAATATATTTATAGATGGGGTTGTAAGAGAAGTAAATGCGAGGGTCTTGGCAAGAGGCCATATAAAGTGGGAGTTTTCACAGTTGCTCTTTGTTGATGACACTGTGCTCTGGGGAGATTCTGAAGAGAAGTTGCAGAGGTTGGTGAATGAATTTGGTATGGTATGTAAAAGAAGAAAATTAAAAGTGAATACAGGAAAGAGTAAGGTTATGATGATAACAAAAGATTAGGTGACGAAATATTGGATATCAGATTGGAGGGAGAGAGTATGGAGGAGGTGAATGCATTCAGATATTTGGGAGTGGACGTGTCAGTGGATGGGTCTATGAAAGATAAGGTGAAACATAGAATTGATAAGGGGAAAAGGGTGAGTGGTGCACTTAGGAGTCTGTGGAGACAAAGAACTTTGTCCTTAGAGGCAAAGAGGGGAATGTATGAGAGTATAGTTTTACCAACTCTTATATGGGTGTGAAGCATGGGTGATGAATGTTGCTGCGAGGAGAAGGCTTAAGACAGTGGAGATGTCACGTCTGAGGGCAATGTGTGGTGTGAATATAATGCAGAGAATTCGTAGTTTGGAAGTTAGGAGGAGGTGCGGGATTGCCAAAACTGTTGTCCAGAGGGCTGAGGAAGGGTTGTTGAGGTGGTTCGGACATGTAGAGAGAATGGAGCGAAACAGAATGACTTCAAGAGTGTATCAGTCTGTAGTGGAAGGAAGGCGGGGTAGGGTTCGGCCTAGGAAAGGTTGGATGGAGGGGGTAAAGGAGGTTTTGTGTCAGAGGGGCTTGAACTTCCAGCGGGCATGCGTGAGTGTGTTTGATAGGAGTGAATGGAGACAAATAGTTTTTAATACTTGACGTGCTGTTGGAGTTTGAGCAAAGTAACATTTATGAAGGGATTCAGGCCGGACTTGAGTCCTGGAGATGGGAAGTACAGTGCCTGCACTCTGAAGGAGGGGTGTTAATGTTGCAGTTTAAAAACTGTAGTGTAAAGCACCCTTCCGGCCAGACAGTGATGGAGTGAATGATGGTGAAAGTTTTTCTTTTACGGGCCACCCTGCCTTGGTGGGAATCGGCCATTGAGCTAATAAAAAAAAAATAAAATAAAAAAAATAAAAAATTATAAGCATTAATTATATCCAGAATATGTTGAAATTTTTATTATACATATACTAGAAGAAGGATTCACAAATTCAGTTTTTCTCTGCAGCTGTATCATTCCAGAGCGTAAATTCAATTATTTATAAACGAAATTTAATAATTTCCGAAGAACTAACTTAAGTTGAAAATTAGACACATGTGCAACATCTGGGTATCTTTATAACTAGATGTTGCACAAGTGTCTAATTTTCATCTTGTCGGTACTGTATACCTGTTATGTATAGCTTAAAATTCTTAATTATATTTTTCCCCACCGAAGTTCTCGTTTATAACAGGACAAAGCCTTTCCCGATCACCTTCAGTTTTTCAGTACTGTTGCAGGACAACGTTCATGTAGCCATTGATATTTTCAGGAAGACTTTGCTCAGTTTCGATGACATCCTTTCTGGATTTGGCTTCAGTAGTATAGCTTAAAAAAAAAAAAAGCCCAGTATGATTGACTTCAAACTTTCAACACCGGTGAAGCCTACTTAAACCATCAAAGGTGGTTCCTCGATAATGCAACTTTTAACATATCGACCATTGTGCAATAGACCGAAAATTCTCTTTTTTAACTTGAGACTTTCGAAGTTGGTTTATCTTAATGAAAGGTTCGAATTGTTTTCAAGTTGTGTAGGTGTAGTTTATCATATTTTCTGAAGAAATGGAATATTAATTAACATGTGTTAACCTGTGATTGCTTCGCCTGGTTACCTTCATATCATCAACGTTCATATTTAACTTTATTATGAACCTATGCCGCTCTTTATACTACTTTCCAGGTAAAGGAGACTGGGGTTATAATATCCAGGGATACTTTTCTAGAACCTCGCTCACAACTAGTAAAATAAGTTTTTATATTCTGTATATTCGTAGTGTATATTTGAAATATGAATAAAAGAGTCGGGATAATTATAATAATTACATATCTTTTTATATACTTACACATCCGGATATTTTGTATATTAACAGCTTAGCTGAATGTTCAGGTATGAATTTTAAAAGATATATGTTTAAATCTTTGGTGTATGTTAGGAGCTTGTTAAGTACTTCAAACTTAGCTATAATATAAGAGGTTAGCGGTATACTGTAGTTACGTTGCTCCCTTTAGTGAGTTTACTGGATCAAAAGTAAATCTGAAGTGCTACTACAAAGTCACTACTACACCTTCCTTCAAGGGAAGGTACCTTAAATTCTGGTCGATGGCACTTTGCTCTACGAATCCTTCTGGGAAAGTTCCCTGACGCTGGTGAAGGACACCTTTGTCTTAATCATCAATTTGATGGCATTTGATATCATTTCCAAAAACACAAGGAATAGTGAGCCAAGAAAATGAACCTACTTTCTACTTCCTTAGATGGCTACGGATCCGAACACACACCAAGGCTGAGGAACTGATCACCTCAAACTGAGAGACCAAGAGACTGATCACCTCGTATCTACAACTCCAAGATTTCTACTGTCTCCTATATCGACTGAGGAAGCCTGATGAGCAGGCGAAACATCTCAACAAAAATACCAAATGTGTCTTACTCGCCTGCACCTGAATTCCCTCCATTTTCCGATTAGCTCCATCTACACGAAATACTGAATATAGGAAACTGAGCTACCCTCCCATTCCTTGGATAAAGCGTAATACCCTCCCATTCTCCAGGTGTTGTAACACTCATACTAGTTTAGTGTTTTCCCATAAGGATGCTCTCCCTGGTCGAAAATAAAAATATATATATCGGAATTTCTTTGCCCTTATGTCAATTAGTTGTTCATAATAAACAGTAAATGTGATCTCGTTAGTGTGATGGATAATTAATAAGATCTCGTTAATATGATGAACTATCAGTAAGATCTCGTTAACACGGTGAATAATTAGTAAGATCTCGTTAATATGAACAATGATTAAGATCTCGTTAACATGATGAACAATGAGTAAGATCTCGTTAACATGATGAACAATGAGTAAGATCTCGTTAATAGGACGAACAGTGAGTAAGATCTCGTTAACACGATGAACAATGAGTAAGATCTCGTTTACATGATGAACAATGAGTAAGATATCGTTAATATGATGAACAGTGAGTAAGATCTCGTTAACATGATGAACATTGAGTAAGATCTCGTTAACATGATGAACAATGAGTAAGATCTCGTTAATATGATGAACTATGAGTGAAATCTCCAAAGATGGAGGGTAGGAACGAACGGTGGTCTTAGGTTAGGTTAGGTATGGTTCGTCAGGAAACAGGATCAGAGTTTCCTAACGCGGGTCTTGTCAGATGACCCGCCGTTGGAGCTTTTGGTCATCTGACCGAGACCTTCCGCTGGCTTACCGATCCAACCCCTTAAAAATTATAGTCATAGTTATTACCATTTTCATGGTGTGGATAGTGGCAGGTCTAGTGGTTTACCGATGAGCTACGGGGCTTCTAGAAGGAAAAATTTGAAAGTGTAATTTTTATTCATGTCTCCGTCAGCAGCACCATCTGTGACCCAAATGTCTCCGTCAGCAGCACCATCTGTGACCCAAATGACTCCGTCATCAGCACCATCTGTGACCCCTATGAATCTTTCCCACAGCTCCTGCTGCTTTTTCAGCAAATCTATTTTCACCTTCCCCAAAGCCATATAGTCTATCAACTCGACATAATCTTTCCAATTAGGGGCCCCGTAGCTCAGTGGTAAAACGCTGGACCTGCCACTATCAGGACCACGGTTCGATTCCCATCTGTATTTCTACTTATTCATTTGCAGTAGTTTACCACGACTTAAAACGAGTTAATAGATTACGGTATTTTGCGGCTTATAAGACTTGTTTTAGTTTCAATGGCTCGTCATCGGACGTAACTGGGAGTGCTACAGCCCACCCCACACCCCAAACTTATAGCTCCAGTCACTCATCTTCAGTTTATAAGACGCAGGGTGGTTTTTAGAGACATTTTATGGAAGAAAATGCGTCTAATAGGCCGCGAAATATGGTTTTTGGTTTTGAGTAAGGTGGAGACAGATTTACTGTGAAAGTTGATGGAACTGTGAGACTCAGAAGAGCGACAGACGGAGCCACTGTCAGAGTCAGAAGGGTGACAACGGTGCCACTGTCAGAGTCAGAAGGGTGACAACGGTGCCACTGTCAGAGTCAGAAGGGTGACAACGGTGCCACTGTCAGAGTCAGAAGGGTGACAGACGGTGCCACTGTCAGAGTCAGAAGGGTGACAGACGGTGCCACTGTCAGAGTCAGAAGGGTGACAGACGGAGCCACTGTCAGAGTCAGAAGGGTGACAGACGGAGCCACTGTCAGAGTCAGAAGGGTGACAGACGGAGCCACTGAGGGAGACATGGACAGAAACTGTCACCGGATCTTTCCCACTAGAAGCCCCATAACTCAGAGGTGAAGCGCTGGACCTGCCACTACCAGGACCGCGGATCGATCCCCTCGTTTATCTTTCTTTTATTCATTTTACAGTCATTAATTACGACTTAAATCGAGTTCTTGTTGAGCAAAATTTTCTAAATATCATAACGAATGACTAAGATCTCATTATATATTATGAAGAATAATTAAGACTTCGTTAATATGATCAATGAGTAAAATATCGTATATATGATAAATAAAAAATAGGATATCTTTATTTTGAAGAATAATGAGTTAGATCTCGCTAATGTGACGAAAATTGAGAATAATGAACATTTTTTATGAGGAACAATGAACAAGATTGCATTAATGTAATAATAATTGAATAGGAATTCGATGATTTTGTGAGAAAATGAGGAGAGTCTCATTAGCATGAAGAACAATGTGTATAACAGCACCAGTAGAATAAATAATAAATAATGAGATGCCGTTAGTATGATGAAGACTGAGTGAGGTCGCGTTAGTTTGATGAACAATGAACAAGATCTGTTCATTATGAAATAAAATACTTTTACACTGACCACGTCAGGGTCGTGGGCGGGTAGAGTGGTCAGCAGCGTGCCGGGGGCCAGGTCCTCCCTGACGGTGACGTGGGCGTGCGGGCGTGAGAACGTGGGTGGGTTATCATTGAGGTTTCTCAGTGTGATCTTCACCCACGCTGAGTCAACGTGGCTGAGATCAGACCAGTCTGCTGGACCCTGACGAGAACAGAAGAGATTACCTTTGAGCAGGATAGTTGGGAAGTATTGACTCAGTGGAGGATGAGTAGGAAGTTTGCACCACGTGGAGGATGGAGGGGTAAATAATTACCTTTGGGAGGATGGGATGATAGTGTTCAGGATGAGAGGAAGTATTCACAATTTAGTGTGTGGAGGACCGGTGAGAATAATTACACGTTGTGGATGCTGAGTGAGAAGTATTTACAATGTGGAAGATGAGAAGTTTTCACACTGTGAAGGATGAGAAACATTCCTACTGTGAAGGATGAGAAGTAGTCACACTGTGATGGATGAGAAGTAGTCACACTGTGAAGGATGAGAAGTAGTCACACTGTGAAGGATGAGAAGTAGTCACACTGTGAAGGATGAGAAGTAGTCACACTGTGAAGGATGAGAAGTATTCACACTGAAAGATGAGAAGAATTAATACTCTTGAAGATAAAAACTAGTCACACTGTAAACGACGAGATGTATTCACACTGTGGAAGATAAATATTTACACTGTGGAAGAGGAGGAGTATTCACACTGTGTAGGATAAGAAGTATTCACACTGTGGAGGATAAGTATTCACACTGTGGAGGATAAGAAGTATTCACGCTGTGAAGGATAAGTATTCACACTGTAGAAGATAAGAAGTATTCACATTGTGGAGGATGAGAAGCATTCACACTGTGGAGGATGAGAAGTATTGACACTGTATAGGATGAGAAGTATTCACACTGTGGAGGATAAGTATTCACACTGTAGAGGATAAGTATTCACAATGAGGAGGATAAGAAGTATTCACACTGTCAAGGATAAGTATTCACACTGTGGAGGATAAGTATTTACACTGTGGAGGATAAGATGTATTCACACTGTGGAAGATAAGAGGTATTCACATAGTGGAGGATGAGAAATATTCACACTGTGGAGGATCAGAAGTATTGACACTGTGGAGGATAAGAAGTATTCACACTGTGGAGGATAAGAAGTATTCACACCGTGGAGGATGAGAAGTATTCACACTGTGAAGGATGAGAAATATTCACACTGTATAGGATGGGAAGTACTCACACTGTGGAGGATAAGTATTCACACGGTGGAAGCTGAGAAGTATTCACACCGTGGAGAATTGCTAAGAAGTATTCATCATGAGAAGGAAGAAGAGAGAGAGAGGGGAAATGGAGAGAGAGAGAGAGAAGGAGGGAGAAGGGGAGGGAGAAGTGAGAAGAAGAAGAGGAGAGAGAGAGGGGAGAGAGAGGGGGAAAGAGAGAGAGGGAGGGAGAGGGGAGGAGGAGAGAGAGGGAGGGGAGAGAGGGAGAGAGAGGGAGAGAGGAGAGAGAAGAGGAGAGGGAGGAGAGGGGGAGAGAGGGAGAGAGAGGGAGAGAGAGAGGGTGAGAGAGAGAGAGGGGAGAGAGAGAGGGAGAGAGGGGGAGAGAGGAGAGAGAGGAGAGAGAGAGGAGAGAGGGGGAGAAAAGGGAGAGGGAGAGAGAGAGAGAGGAGAGTGAGGGAGAGGGAGAGAGGAGAGAAGGGGGAGAGAGAGAGAGTGAGAGAGAGAGAAAAGAGAGAGGGGAGAGAGAGAGGAGGAGAGAGGAGAGAGAGAAAAGGGGAGAGGGGAGAGGGGAGGAGAGAGGGAGAGAGAGAGAGGGAGAGAGAGGGAGAGAGAGGGGAGAGAGAGAGGGAGAGAGGGGGGGAGAGAGAGGAGAGAAAAGGGAGAGAGGAAGAGAGAGAGGGGAAGAGAGAGAGAAAAGAGGGAGAGAGAGAGAGAGGGAGAGAGGAAAAGAGAGAGAGAGAGAGAGAGAGAGAGAGAGGTAATTTCCTCGGTAAGTACAAAAGGGAAGAAATCACCATATTAATGGTATAACACCGACAAAATGATGAATGTGACACAGCTACAACACCTGGAAATCTTTATTAAACACACAATAAAGATATCCAAGAGGAAGGTAAGGAAGAGGGAAGTATTCATCCTAAGGAAAATAAAAGGGAAGTATTCACCCTGAGTAAAATATGAGGGAAATATTCACCCTGAAAGAAAAGAAGGGTAGTATTCACCCTGACAAAAATAAGAGGAAATATTCACCCTGAGGAAAATAAGAGGGAAATATTCACCCTGAGGAAAATAAGAGGGAAGTTTTCACCCTGAAGAAAATAAGAGGGAAGTATTCACCCTGAGGAAATAAAAGAGAAGTATTCACCCTGAGGAAAATAATAGGGTTGTGTTCACCCTGAGGTAAATAAGAGAGGAATATTCACCCTGAAGAAAATGAGAAGTAACTATTCACCGTGAGGAAAGTTTTTAAAAAGTATGTACCCTGAGTTAAAAAAGAGTGAAGTATTCACCCTGAGAAAAATAAGAGTGAAGTATTCACCCTGAGGAAGATAAGAGGTAAATATTCACCCTGAGAAGAATAAGATAGACATATAAACCATGGGAAGGATAATGCTGGGGTAACAACTCTGAGGAAGATAAGATGTTGAAAATGTGCAAACATGTTTCCAGAGCCATTGTTCTCCTCATTTATCTTCCCATGTCCAGCACCGCTGTTTATTGCACCTTCCTCAGCTTTTGTATTTTTTGCTGTAAAAATCTTGGTTTTCTAAGATGGCTGGAAAGTCGATGTTTAGATCACAAAACAGAGTTGTATAATGTCACGTATTAATACCGAGGAAGTGAATTAAGTCATCAATTGTTGCTTGCAGGAGAGCGTTATCAAGGGCATGATGCAGGAGAGCGTTATCAAGGGCATGATGCAGGAGAGCGTTATCAAGGTCATGATGCAGGAGAGCGTTATCAAGGGCATGATGCAGGAGAGCGTTATCAAGGGCATGATGAAGGAAAGCGTTATCAAGGGCATGATGCAGGAGAGCGTTATCAAGGGCATGATGCAGGCGAGCGTTATCAAGGGCATGATGCAGGAGAGCGTTATCAAGGGCATGATGCAGGAGAACGTTATAAGGGCATTTATGCAGGAGAGCGTTTTTCAAGGGGATGATGCAGGAGAGCGTTATCAAGGGCATGATGCAGGAGAGCGTTATCAAGGGCATGATGCAGGAGAGCGATATCAAAGACATGATGCAGGAGAACGTTATCAAGGACATGATGCAGGAGAGCGTTATCAAGGGCAAGAGGCAGGAGAGCGTTATCAAGGGCATGATGCAGGAGAGCGTTATCAAAAGGGAAAAGATGGGAGGAGAGCGTTATCAAGAGCATGAGCAAGAGAGTGTTATCAAGGGCAAGATGCAGGAGAGCGTTATCAAGGGCATGATGCAGGAGAGCTTTATCAAGGACATGATGCAGGAGAGCGTTATCAAGGGCAAGAGGCAGGAGAGTGTTATCAAGGGCATGATGCAGGAAAGCGTTATCAAGGGCATGATGCAGGAGAGTGTTATCAAGGGCAAGATGCAAAGGGGAGCGTTATCAAGGGCATGAAAGCAGGAGAGTGTTATCAAGGGCATGATGCAGGATAGCGTTATCAAGGGCATGATGCAGGAGAGCGTTATCAAGGGCATGATGCAGGAGAGCGTTATCAAGGGCATGATGCAGGAGAGCGTTATCAAGGGCATGATGCAGGAGAGCGTTATCAAGAGCATGATGCAAGAGAGCGTTATCAAGGGCAAGATGCAGGAGAGCGTTATCAAGGGCATGATGCAGGAGAGTGTTATCAAGGGCATGATGCAGGAGAGCGTTATCAAGGGCATAATGCAGGAGAGCGTTATCAAGGGCAATATGCAGGAGAGCGTTATCAAGGGAATGATGCAGGAGAGCGTTATCAAGGGCATGGTGCAGAGAGTGTTATCAAGAGCATGATGCAGGAGACTGTTATCAAGGGCAAGATGTAGGAGAGCGTTATCAAGGGCATGCTGTAGGAGAACGTTATCAAGGGCATGATGCAGGAGAGCGTTATCAAGGGCAGATGTAGGAGAGCGTTATCAAGTGCATGATGCAGGAAAGTGTTATCAAGGGCATGGTGCAGAGAGTGTTATCAAGAGCATGATGCAGGAGAGCGTTATCAAGGGCATGATGTAGGAGAGCGTTATCAAGTGCATGATGCAAAAGAGCGTTATCAAGGACATGATGCAGCAGAGCGTTATGAAGGGCATGATGCAGCAGAGCGTTATCAAGGGCATGATGCAGAAGAGCGTTATCAAGGGCATGATACAGAAGAGCGTTATCAAGAGCATGATACAGAAGAGCGTTATCAAGGGCATGATGCAGCAGAGCGTTATCAAGAGCATGATACAGAAGAGCGTTATCAAGGGCATGATACAGAAGAGCGTTATCAAGAGCATGATACAGAAGAGCGTTATCAAGGGCATGATGCAGAAGAGCGTTATCAAGGGCTTGATGCAAAAGAGCGTTATCAAGGGCATGATGCAGAAGAGCGTTATCAAGGGCATGATACAGAAGAGCGTTATCAAGAGCATGATACAGAAGAGCGTTATCAAGGGCATGATGCAGCAGAGCGTTATCAAGAGCATGATACAGAAGAGCGTTATCAAGGGCATGATACAGAAGAGCGTTATCAAGAGCATGATACAGAAGAGCGTTATCAAGGGCATGATGCAGAAGAGCGTTATCAAGGGCTTGATGCAAAAGAGCGTTATCAAGGGCATGATGCAGAAGAGCGTTATCAAGGGCATGATGCAGAAGAACTATATCAAGTCATGACTACATAAAGGAGAGCTTTATCAAGATATAATTCAATACAGGAGAGCTTTAGTAAATCATGATGTGATACAGAAAAGCTTTATCGTGTCGTCACTTAATACAAGCAAGCTTCATTAAGAAGATATGACCTGACGCAGGAAACCTTTATTAATTCATAACTCAATTAAAGAGATCTTCACAAAATCAATGAATTGCATAAAGAGAGCTCTAGGAGAGCTTTATAAATTCAATATCATGATACATTAGAGCGTAAGAAGTAATGACTTGATGCGAAAACTTTATCAAATCACACTTGATTGAAGAGAGCTTTATATTCATGATTTA